TACAAAGTACCGCTACTTAAGGAAAACGACTATATTCGAGATTACTACGACGGGGAAGACTATAGTTACCTAGGTGTTGCTCGAATAATAGAACATATTCGACGGAACTTCGCCTTCCTAGATATAAGATAAAAGGTCTTAGAATATATTAAGAAGTATATTAGTTATAATAAGAATAAGTCTTCGCGGCACGCGAAGTACGGTAACTTATAATTCCGGAAACTACCCGAAAAACTATAGGAAGAAGTTATAATAGACTTTATAACCGATCTTCCTAAGTTACCCGACCTAGTAATAGGAGTATACTACGACGGTATCCTAGTTATAGTCGATAGGCTAACTAAGTATATATACTTTATACCCTATAGTAAGACGATTACGGCCCCGTAGTTAGGCTGCCTTATGCTCGATCGCCTTATACGCTACTACGGGATACTAAAGGTTTTTATTACCGATAGGGACACTAAGTTCATATCGAACTACTAGAAAATACTTGTCGCCGCAATTGGACTTAAATATAAGCTATCTATAGTATTCTATCTAGAAACAGACGGTTAAACCGAGAGAATAAACTAAAATCTCGAGCCGTACCTTAGGCACTACGTAAACCTAGCCTAAAACAACTAGGTAGAAAAGCTACTAATAGCCTAGGTTGCGCTTAATAATAATACCTCCGAGACGACTAGCGAATCGCTATTCTACGCTAACTACGGCAGGGACCTAAACCTGTTTATAGAACTACGCGAAGGACTAGTATCTAAAGAAGCTTTAGTTAAAGCCTCTAAACTAAAAAATATCTACGGCAAACTACGACAAAATATTACTAAATCTTAGCGAACACTTATAAGGACGAGGTTTAAGACCTTAAAAACGGCACCTTAGCTAAAGACGGGGGATAAGGTATATCTCCTAACGAAGAACCTAAAAACTAAGAGAGGAACGAAGAAACTAGATTATATAAAGGTCGGACCGTTTCTAATCGCTAAGAAAAAAGGCGAACTTAACTACCGACTCGAACTACCTAAGGATGCTAAGGTATACCCTATATTCTACGTCTCCCTCCTCGAACTAGCGCACCCGGATACCGCGCTCTAAACAACATTCTACTACGAGTCCTAAGAAAACTAAGAATAGAAAGTAGAAGAAATCCTAGAAAGAAAGGGTTAGAAATACTTAGTTAAATAGAAAGGATACCTAAACGAAGATAATATATAGGAACCTAAGACTTACCTTAAGAATTACTAGACCCTCCTACGGTAATATTACCGAAACTACCCTTAAGACCGAAGATAGATTCTCTACTAGGAAGAATCTAAAAAGTATCGTTATAGATTATAGATATCTCGGCCTACGACGCTACGGGAAGCTAGAAAATACCGTCTAACTCCTCTAGCGTTCCCTCTAGAACTAATAGATAATCGGAAGATATAGCTAGAGTACCGGGACCTTCGGAAGGCAGCGATTATAGTTCCTTAAACTCCTTACTAATAGCCTTCTCCTCCCGCTCCTCCGCAACCCGAAGCTATTTCCTTAACCGATATATACGTATTATCGCCTCGGTTACGCTCTCTTTAGCCTCGTCGAGCTAACGCTTTAATTTACGACGCTAAGTACGTAACCGTTCCTATTTGGTCTACGTAACGGTAACGTTATATCCTTACGTACCTTTTCGTATATACTCCGAACACGACCTATACTAAACATCTACTATATAGCGAGGACGCTCCTTATCCTTCGCGACTTTCGCGTTCTAATAGCAAGTATATAGAGAAGGCATCTCGCGACCTTCCTCTTCGATTCGTAGAGCTTATCGTTCGCGGCGTTCTTTTCGAGTTAGCGGCTCTCTACTTATAGTATTAGAAAAGAGAGGAAGATAACTTATATTATAAGCTCGGGACGAAGCTTAGGTATAAGAGGGGGATAGTGTTACGGATATATAATATAGGGTATAGAGAGGGAGAATAAGGACTAGTTATTTTAGCCTTAAAGGGAAGCGCTAAGGGCGCACCCGCGAATTACGTAACTAGCTAACTTCACTAGACCTTAGATAGACACGTAACTAGCTATCCGACTAGACGAGTAGTCTAGCGGACTAGTAGCTAGTTAGAACACGAATCTCCTATATATATAAACGAGCCCTTTCCTATATAGATAGTTCGTGTTTAACCTAAGTTACTAACCCGCCGAAAGGTTAAACCTTAGAGTAGTTACTTACCCGACCTATCGCTTAGAACTTACTCGTCTAACGAGCTCTAACTCCCTTGTACCGCAGGTGCATAACAATATATAAATATATATAAATCTTCTATATATATAGAATAGATATTTCTTATAGATAGTCTATTTAATCTAGGTTATTAACTTACTAAAAGGTAGCAAGACTTATTTAGACTTATATACCCTTATTTAACTTAGTTACTTAAAGCTTACTATATTAAAAGTAAACTAGCTTATTAGAAATAGTTATTCAATACCTACGGTATACTAGAGTTAGAGCTTATTAGTTAGGTAAGTTCTTAAGTAAGTAATTAGGTAAGAGATCTTAGGCGCTTTACATCTAGTAGCTTAAGCTCCGACGATCTGGGTGCGTATGACTATACAATATCATTTAAGGGACCTGAACCACATAAGACTTCAGTAGGTAAAAACAGCTTTTGATGTTCTGCACACGCGATCGTCCTTCGTTTTGCCATTACATTTCAAGTAGTGAAGGCAACAGCGTTGGCGGGACCCCTAGATATCCTCCACTCTCGAACCATGTTCCGTCTATGCGGTAGGCTTACGATGAGCGACGGCGTTCTCATGTCCACTCCTCCACTGTGTTACGATCACATGTGCTTGCAGACAAAAAGGCTTAGTCTCCAGCTACTGGACGCTCCGACGGTCGATGAAGTGCACTAGATGGACTAATTAGACAACAGAGAAAGCAACAGTGTTGACAGCAGGAAGGCTGAAGGCGATATCGACGCAGTTACAAACCACTTGAACAACCCTTGGGGGACCCATTTTCAAACACACGAAATCCATGATGGCTCATTGATCACGACCACACTTGTTATAAGAGGAAAATTTTGTCGGAGGATGTGTTGATTATGCCCCTCAATCAATCGCAATATCGGAGGGGACGTAGTCGGCGTTAATCTAATCTACAAGATTTGACCATCGTCGCTTTACTGGCACTTAATCACTTGTGCTTTACCTTGCCAGGCTTCGTGTTCGACGAGTCAAGCAACCCTTCCGGAATAGCACCCGTTTCTTCCGTAAAAATTATTTCCTCGATCAGAAGCTTCCGATGCTGCTTGCCAACTCTTGGGAAGGAAGCTGAATCTGGAAAAGGATACTTATTTCGCTATGCCAATGCCGGAGTCAAAATTACAACGATCATTCGCTTCTTCGTTCCAGCTCGAGTAGATAGTAGCAGTGTCGGAGCATTTTGATTGCCCGATCAAAGTTCTCAAACATGAGCAGATGCTACTATTGGACCGGGTACCATCAATAGTCCTCGTCGTCTATGACCTCCTCCACATATTCTATCACTGGGGGCTCACTTCTAACCTTGCCCATCATCTCGCATAGCGCCCCGGCCGTTTCGAAGAGGTCAAAAGTTTTCGATTGATTGCAAGCCCGCTTGCCGTAATGCGTCTCTTGGATATACGTCGGTGGATGTGAGTAGACCCTCACCAGCGCGAGGTCTGCATCGGACTCATTATCAATCATAACGTCACCGTCATTCCACCATTTATCATCATTGGAGTCGTCCTCAATTTGCTCGTCTGCTTCCAGTCCTGGAGTATCATCTGAGTTGGGCAGCGCGGATGCCGAGTCGAGGCAGATATCTGGTCGGGAAGTTGATCGCGGCTTCGTGACGCTCTCGCTGTAGCTGGGCGGAGGAGGGTCTGACGACTGCTCACTTTGCGTATGGTCGAGTCCCTCCAGTACGGCAATATGCCCGACTAGTCGCCGCAGGCTGGCGTTTCCTCGCCGCGTTTCTCGCCTGAGGTTGTTTTCGGCGGCGATGCGGGCGCGCTCTGCTTGAAGAGCTGTGGGGTAATAGAACTCTGACATCTCGTTCCGCGAGCTTTGTGCTTCGGTCTGCATGGTCTTGAACAATCGGGTATTTTTAGCTAGAGGCTAAGTAAGAAGCAAAGCGTCTACAAATGGGCTTGCAAGATGGAGTCGGAGGAATCTCTAAAGGGATGTGTTTGGATGTTGAGAGGCTGCTTGAGCAAGATTTCCAGTCATGTGTGTGTAGCTCTGATATATACATTTATGCATCATGCGTGGTTAGACAGCAGTGAATTCCAGACTTCCGATCGGATGTGAAGGAACTTGTGAAGACACGACGATTGAAGAGGGCTAGCGCACCCGAGATCCTTCCTTCCTTCCTCATTACATGCGAGTCCGCAGCCGCGATCTCCGCTCACAGGATTTTCGCGGGACTGGTCGGGTAGCTAGCGCCAGCCTCTAACCAGAAGCTGAACCGCAGCTCAAAAATATACGGTGGTACTCGAGGCAAAAGAACTGCATGTGCTTTACGTCGTGATCAGTTCTTCACCCGTTCTTACTCCCTACAGGACTACGTTGTCGCCTTATACGGGGGAAAACAGAACATGAGCAAAAAGCTCAAAGACGTCGCGGCCGTGACCTTCGAGTCGATACCTTTCGCTCGTACCTTGAGACGTGGCTTCACGACCTCAGGAAGTAGATACCAAGATCCGCTGCGCCAGCCTGGCAGTGCAAGTACACATAAATTCGAACGAACCACTCGTCGTATCGCGACCGCACTGTTTACGTTTTTGGGCCTGGGATTGATATTCTCATACGCTCCGCCTTTTAGGACGAGCACAAGGGAGGGTCGAGCTTTCGATCAGTATCTCCAACGTAAGTAAAATCGATCGAGCGATACAGATAGCTCCATCTTAAATGATATGGAGGCCTGGGATCCCGTGCTAACATATGTGTGAAGAGGACTGGATGAAGACCGAGGCGAAGGAGGGGGACTTGGGACGTGAGGAAACGAACGAGCAACGCAAGCAAGAACGAAAGTATCGAGAAACCCATCCAGGGCAATCAAAAGGTGATCTACCGTGAACTACATAGGCGGCCAGCAGGACAGGAGGCTATGTCGACAAGGACATATCTACAACGCATGAGACCAGCAAGTGCCATGAACAGAGTGCAAATGAATCTGCAAGCCAAATAGTTGACCATTGGTGTATACTTGTTTCCCAATGGCGGGTTTCTTGTACTTGACATATCCTCGGTATAGAACGCTGTGCGCAGTTCATACCGCAGTGTGATATGGCATACGTGAACGCAGCACGAAAGCAATATCCACAGATGAATAGGATATGTTTGACGATCATGACAGATCGAGTGTCTGTTTACATTTGTCGTAGACTACGTACGTAATAGCGACGGATGGTATGACCTTGATCAGATTCGGCGTCATACCTTTCCATAGACCTCGCCAGCCCTCTTCTGCGATTGTCTGCCGCACGACATCCATAATGCTTCCGTATTCTCGGGGGTTGACGACTGTCCCGCTGGTCTGAAGTCTTGTCCGAAGCAGATTCAATGGCCACACTACCGATGCACCAACTGCACCACTGAACCCACCAATTACTGCTGTTGCTATCACATTGGGTCTTGAGTCCGCTTCTGAAAGCCCGAGTGACTTATTTTTCTGCATCCACCAACGTCTGGTGTACTCATACATCGTTAGATCAATGGCAGAGTAAGGATATTGCCCGAGAAGGCCCCAAGGGAGTCCTCGGAAGAACGGGCGCAAACCGCCCGCCCGCCACATCTGCTTTGCTGTGTCTGCTAATAGACGATGGCCATAATGCCCATTCTTTTGCATGTTGCATTGCACGCGGAATCGAAGTGTGTCTAGAGGATATGCAATGAATCTACGACCACCTGGTAAGCTTAATGTCTTCTTATCGCAATGTATCTTGACATACTGCGCGGCCACTCCACCGATACCACCTGATGCTGTTTGTGCCCAGACAGAGATGTCAGCAGGGCTATCCACACCTTCCCATGTGGCGAAAAGACGTCGCGAGGTCTGTAGAGTCAAATTAGTGACAGAGCTGCATAGATCCATCGCCCCAATAAGATCACAGACCTCATATATTCCAAATTTAGTGGCGCCTTCAGGCAACATTTTTACTATATTTACCCCATTGCCAGCCCAGAGGCTACGCACACCGCCAGCGTCCCATACGTTCCTGCTCGCACCTAATAGCCTACGACCGGCTGTTACGACAGCTGCTATAAGCTCACCCTTCTTAATATGCTGCCAGGTAGGGCTCTTAGAGTGCGTCTCCGAGATGAGGTAAATTTTTAGGCGGTCGATAGGAGCGGTAACGGTGCGAGAAGTCATGCTGGCCAAACCACCCGCCGCAAAGTATCCACCCCTCTCGTAAAGCTCTTCATTAATATGTACGTCTCCATAATGATTGATCTTGATGAGTCGAGAGTCCGTTCCACGGGACACGTTGCCATCGGGTTGCAGAGACTGGTCTACAGGTGGCATGCTGCGCTAGTGGCACATGGTATGATGATAAAAGGTTAAGTTGAGCAGGCATGAGGTAAAAGACAAGATATTCTCCTTTGGCCCCTGCGTCATGTCGCAATATTCAATTCGGGATGTACGGATGGACTACACAAGTAGTGTGGAAGCACGGAGCCGGGGAAGCAACGTCGACGGTTCACTCGGCTCTAGTGGATCGCCGTTCGACAACACTCAACGCCCAAAACGTGAGCTTCTGCACAGCTCGTATCTAGAATCCCTCCAAAGAACACGGCCAATTCCCCATCACGCTTTGCAACGCAGAAGGTATGCAATTTCAGGCCCGTGTTCCGAGCGGCACCCAACGACTACGACTAGCCCCTGGATGTCCACCGTCGTCAACATGGAACCTCAAGTCTATTCGCTTCGCAACCCGCTGCATCGCCATCATCGCCTGCGGATTTATAATTGCTGGCATTTACTTTTCCTCTGACAATAAGATGCCACACTCAGCTAAAGGACCAAGATCCGAGGTGTACGGTGCAACAGCCTCTCCTCCCTGCCGACATGTTCGCTACACGCAGGACCAATGTACTTTCGTCAAAGACCAATGTGAGGACAAAGAGGATGGCTTATTCTCTTATCTTCAGCTCTATTACTGCACTCTGCCGCATCTTCAGGCATTGGTATGGGTCATCATGCTACTGTGGAGCGCGTTGCTGTTCACATTAATTGGGGTCTGTGCTGAAAGCTTCTTTTCCGTCAACCTGGGTTTTATTGCAAAAGCTTTGCATCTAAGTGATACCTTCGCTGGAGTAACCTTCCTTGCGCTGGGCAATGGCGCGCCGGACCTCTTCTCAACGTGGGCTGCAATGAGTTCGGGAAGTCCAGAGTTGGCCATTGGCGAATTGATAGGCGCCGCCTGTTTCATCTCCACAGTGATTGCTGGTTCGATTGCGCTGCTCGGCCCGTTCTACATCCAGAAAGTATCGTTCTGTAGAGATGCCAGCTTTCTAATGCTTACGGCACTCTTTTTGATACCACTGCTGGTGACGGAGAGGCTGTCCTTGTGGCAAGGGCTCGTCATGATTGCAATATATTTCGGCTATGTCAGCTGTGTTGTATGGTACCACTGGCGCAGCACTCGGCAAGCTCAAAGTGTCGCAGAGACTCCAGAGGAGCACTTCAGTGAGGAAACAACTCCTCTATTCCCTCGCCATCCACGGGACCACGATCCAAGTCGAATAGCCAAACATAAAGATCCATCCTCCTTACACTCAGGGAACGCAGTATACAAAGAGATGAGCAGATGGAGAAGGTTGCAGGGACTGGAGATCGAGGCGAATGATGATTATTGCATTCGACCCTGCCTTATTGGCACTCTCGAGTACCGTCATCGAAAGAAACATGCAAAATCACAACCGGCGACGGACACATCAGCAGTCGGCACGGGTAATGGAGACGAAGACACTGCTCCTTCGGATCATGAAACAGCGCTGGGTGCTCGTCATGTGTATGAGACTTTATTTCCAACCTTGAGAGACTTCGGAAATCGCAGATCATGGCACGAATGCGTGGCCCTCTGTACGACCTTGCCTTTTCTCCTGATGAAGATCACGATCCCGGTAGCTGATTTCGATCGAAAAGATGAGGCACACCCCGAAGGCGTCGAGAGGAACGATTGGGACCGCTGGCTGTTCGTTGTACAGTCATACATTGCGCCCCAATTCATCTGGATTCTTTTGTGGCCATACGCCACAGATATGAAGGACTTGTATAGCTGGTTGCATCCGGCACTCTTCTGTATCGCTGGAAGCTCGGTCTTTGTGCTGATCCTTCTTGTTAGCACCAAATCAAAGAGGCCGCCGAAATGGTCCCCCTTGATTGCCCTCCTGGGATTTGGAGTCAGTGCTTATTGGCTTTGCACCATTGCCAACGAGGTCACCGCTATATTGAAAGCCACTGGCGTCATCCTAGACGTATCCGAGGGAATCCTAGGCTTCACCCTTTTTGCCGTCGGCAATTCACTCGATGACTATGTCGCCGATATGACTGTCTCTCAACATGGACATCAAGTCATGGCACTGTCTGCCTGCTTTGGCGGCCCTCTCTTGAACATACTTTTGGGCCTGGGTACGAGCATTGTCTACGTAATCATTCGTAACGCAAAGGCCGGAGGTGGTGTTGGACCAATTCTGTTGAATGTTGACCTGCCGCTTTTGATATCGACGGCGGTGCTGGCGGTTACAATGGCAGCTCTCATCGCCGGGTCTTGGTTTCGGAAATGGCAGATGGTGCGAAGCACAGGCATCATTCTTATCTGCGTCTGGCTCGCTTTGGCGACGACGAATGTACTTGCAGAAACTCTACTCAAGTAGGCACCACCGTCTGCAAACAAAGACTGCTTATCGCAATGATAGGTACTTGGTACATACCTTAGCCTCCATCTTGCATCCACTAAGATCCTATAGAGATTCCATGGGTTTAAATGCCTAGGACTGCCACCATGTCAAACTTCCCCATTGTTATCGCTTGTACAATCATGGTGAGGCTCCAAGTGTCTGTGTCGACGGCTTCTCCGGCTGTTCCATCTTCACAGGGGGTTCGGAGCTTGGGTTAAAAATGGCAGCTCCGACCCTGCATCCGTGGTCGTCCGCTATTTGAACCTGGCCCTCACAGATGTTGGGGTTCAGCGCTGCAAGCAGTTCAACAATGGCTTTCCCAAAGGCCATCGGTCTGGTATGTGCCAGTCCGATGAGGCGTACGATCCAGACAGCGATCTACTGCTTTTGCGACATACTTCCTCAACCAACACGAAGAAGATCTTGCTGCTACCAGATGCACAAGAAATTACCGACTTGCCTTGCGATGCTACCACTTCGATCATGCAAACACAGATCAGTGCAGATTGGTTGAAGAAGAGGAGTCTTTGCAGCGACGAGGACACGGGAGGCGTTGATTGCATTGCTACATGATTATTGTCAACATTATACTGGACACCGAATTGCCTCGTACATATCATACTCGGGTCAAGCATATATGGAATTATCGCAGGAGTATACCTTATGTTTGCATCCTTTTTTTCGAGACTGCTAGGGAAATATCGTGAAATACGTGTTGAAGAGAGCGTACGCAGAGCACAAACGAGAAGCGACGGCTACCCTACGCAAGCTACGGATCCCTAAAGACCTAGGGACCGCGAAGCTATAGTTCTTGACCGCCGCCACCAACCTAATCGTAGTGCGGGAACGATAGTAGCAGGCTCGGCAGGTGTTTTTCCCCGTAAAATTTACGAAAGCAGATAGTATCTCGCTACGATAAGGTACTTATAATTCTCGTAAGCGTGCCTTAGTATATATTCTAGAATCTTAGATTCTACTTAACAATACTACTAACTATAATAATAATAATAATCCTG